CTGCATTTTGAAAACATTATCTGTTTGTATAGTTAGATTTTGAATGATCTTTATAAATGAGTATAGATTATCTGCCTATATAGTTTCAGAAGCGTCAAAACAAAAGGAAAACGAGAAAGAAGTATTGACTAATATTTATGATGTCATTATTGGTAACTAATATTTTATCTTTTCTATTCCCCAGCTCTTACAACATCAATGAACATTAGTGAAAGAGAGATTGCAATAATCTTGCTATTAAAATAATTTACAATATAAAATACTATGTGTCAAATAATATTGTTGGTCAGTCAAAAAAAAAAAGTTGGTCAAATATTTAGGTAACACTACTTTAGTTTCTCTTTTCATATATATTACAAATAGATATAGTTTTTCTTTTTTAAAATATTTACAGTAAATAAAGGAAAGAGAGTTTATATATATAAACAAGTTAAATATGCATGCATGCCTTTGCATGTAAATTTGTCTTATGTCTCGTGCCGGAAAAATAATAATATGGATTTGATAAAGCTTTTGAAAAAGATACTTATATTGTGTTTGGTAAATAAAAAAAAGAAAATTAGGTGTATTATTGTATATCTTTGAACATATCATTTTTTTTGTTATGTTTACATTTTTCTGTATTAAAAATGATGTGTAGGAAGATGTAAAATGATACATATAGCATTACCAATAAAAAATAAAGTATTTGTGTTTGTCGCATTTAAAAAATGGGATGCTTTTAAAAGCATTTAAGAATGAGTTTTTTAAAAATGGCTTATACTTATCAAAATTAAAAAGTTTAATATAATTCTATTTATTGATAAATATCCATATTTATTATTATATTTATATCTAGTATGGTCATTAAAATTTTTAAAATCATTTTATCAAACTTAATTATTGTTGCTTGTACTTATAAGCTACTTTCGAAAAGCAATAGCTTTACCAAATCCACCCTTTATGCCACCTATTTTCACAGTCACACTTAAAAGAATAGCATTATTAGATAGTCAACATATTTTATTATTTTTGGTCCGCAACTGGCCATGAATATTAAAATGTATTGATGAAAGACATTGGTTGTTTGAATAAAGAACTTGGTTTGTTGTACAAGGATGCTGGCTAAAATAAATTAAAATCGCTAGACCTTTAATTTTTCTCATAAAAGAATTAACCTAAATTAAATTGTAATTTGTAAATATTGGTGTAGAAGTACTAAAATCGATCTCCTTATTATGGCTAAAATTTAATTTCCATATAAAAGAATTTTATCCAAACAATCAATTTCAATTTAAATTGAATGAATGTTTCAAAGTTAAACCCTTGTTGCTAAATATATCCTTTATTAATTCTCCCACTTGAACATTGAATTTGTTTGTATCCAATTCCTAGGCCGAAAGAATAGGCCCACCATTGGGCCATTTTTGGGAAACCACCTTGCCAAATGACTCAGAGAGAGGGAGTTAACCCGCTCAGCCCATATGCTGACAGAACATCCGACCTGTATGGACAAGTCGGGTATTACCGACTTGTAATACAGATGAGCTCGTAATGGGCAGAGTATTGGGCTCAACACCTTGGCAGGCCTAGGGGCATCCTGGCCTGCTCACTAGGAAGAACCGATCCGACCCAGCAGGAGAGGCCCGATCCGACGTGCCCTCCACGAAAGAGATGTGACACGATCTCTCCTCCGCAACGGAATAGGAGACGTGCTCCCATGCACTACTCCGAAACCTCAGGACATGCACTTCCCCACTATCAACGATACAGGTACACTCGTGCCTATAAATACCCCACGGGTACACAGGTTTGGACACACTGAACACAATACTTCTACTATACTTAAACTCTGCTTACACCCTGTCTGACTTGAGCGTCGGAGTGTTTTGCAGGTT